TTCAAGGTGCTGAGTGCGTTTACTGAGCCATAAAAGGTGACATCGATGAGAAATATTTTCTGAAACATGAGACAACACTGCAAATGGGGCGTGCACACTCACAGTTTGGGTCAAAAGTTCCAAGGAGCCGAATTCACTTTTTAGTGCCCACTTCGTCGTGGTCGCAAGTGCACTCAAACGAAAGTTTGAGTGCGTCCTGAATGTCGCCGTGATAACATCACATGCGTTGCCCTTTCAGTTACGAAGAGTTGCAAATTTCAACTCTAGCGTGCTGAAATGAAATACTAGAATACATCCTAACCTATAAATTGTGAGTGGAGGATATTTGTTAAGCTCATTGCCTCTACAAGGGGAATATCTGAGGCGAGTGGATGGTCACAAGAGCTGTCAATCCTAGCGCCCAAGGTCACTGAAACAAGTTCGGCCAATGACAAGCCCTTATTTTTGCCCTATTCTTACCAGATAATGACCAAACCCTCTACATATATGGCTCTGGGTGTTACGTCACGGTGTCAGTACCCGTAACCAGCCAATCCAGTGCGGCCTCCGTTGCTATACATCCTATTGCAAAGTCTTACGAAATATTGCCGCGAGCGCAACTGACCGAGAAGGCAGCGCGCTCGTGGCATAACGGTTATCGTGCGTAGGTTCCACGCAGAAAGCCAGGGTTTGATTCCCGGCCGCGAAGACATATTTTTGTTGATTCTAACGTAATGTTCTGGCAAATTCGAGAACCATGTTGCTGATTCGAAGTTATAATGTTCAACACGCCGAACCTTCTACGCCGAGTGTTCCAGAAGCCCACACGTGTACAAAAGGGGCTCCGCGTGGCAAGCCGGAAGCAGTTCCGCCCCAGCGCTCGATTCTGCTGTCACGCCGACCTAGACGCTCTGCTTTATTCTGTTCCCTCTTTATTTTTGGGCACAAGTTCGCCCCATTAAACGTTTCCGTTTTCCCAGTATTCTTTGTTTCACCTTGTCATTCTTGACAATATGACGCACCCCGCCGCTATCTGTTGGCGCTTGCCAGTGTTTCCTAGCCAGTTTCCACAGTCAGTGGGGCTGTGGCACCATCTTGTGGCAACGTTGCAAATTTTGAATATGTGCGCTCCAAACCAGTTCGAGGTCAATGCATGCACAAAGGCACTAATGCGAACGCATTACAAGAGCTGGGGAGCCAAAGATATTCTGTGAGGCAAGACATCCACCGCCAGACCACGTGCAGAAACCGGCAGTGTGCCACAGGTCCTTCACACCAGCCGCAAAGAGTGGTACTGGTCCTTCTTGAATATGCTAACAGTGTGACATTCCCGTCTCGTGACTCCTCATAATTAGCCATCTCTGTGTGAGTGTGTTGAGGAATGTGGATTCGTCCCTCCTAAACTATGAGGTGCACCTCACAGTTAGTCATCTATGTGTGCGTGGGCATGGGTGCATGTGTGAGAGAGAGAGAGGTGGCAAGAGGGAAGAAGAGTGAAGCAGGGGGTTCTTCAGGAGCGGTGAGGAATGCGGATTTGCCCCTCCGAAACTCTGTAAACGAAACTGCTGGGCGTCTACCCTCCAACGGATGAGATGGACGAAACTGCTAGTCATCTACCCTCCGATGGGCGAAATGGACAAGCCGGAAGAAGGTAACAAAAAGAAAGCCCAGCGGGGATCTCTCTCTCAGGCGGTGGATATGAAAGGTGTGAGGCGAGGCGAGGCCGGTGGGGAAGCTGAACCAAGGAAGTCGGAGAGGCTGCAGGGCAACGTGGAGAGACCGACATCGAGAAGTCCGACGTTTATGGACCCGGCGCACCTTTGGCGCAACCACCGAGACGTCCAAGTTCCCATCAAGATTCTACCCAAGCAAAGTCATCCAAGTGCGTGAGTGTTTGCCTTTGGAACTCCTTGACGCGTACTGGCGTAGAACTCTGCCGGAACATTCCTATTTTTGCAAGTGTGTGTAGTCAGTGAATACCGCAATACTTTCGCGATGTGTATAAAGTTGCAATTGCTTGTAATCGGCAGTCTTGGGTGCCTCACTCCACCGACAGGGCACCTGACAATTAATTGACCAAGACCAAGTCTTTAGGGTCGTCACATTCCTAATACTCCCAACAATTAAAAAAAAAATATATACTGGTTGTCAAAAATAGTCTGTGCAATACACTCAACAAGTTATATGGATGCTCCTCATGCCTGGAAAGTAACAAAATGAAATGTTTACAGTTTACATTCCCCGTCGTCTACAGGCACCTAAATGGAGACGCAGTTTGTGTCAGGCAATTGAAAGAAAACAGCGTGTGATCACTCCCACAGATATATACAGTAAAAATGGCGCTTTTCTGCCTATAGTGTGTGAAGTAAAAGCGACAGCTGTAGCCTGTTAACCCACATCAGGATCCTCATGTCGCCATGTAAGCACCTCTGCAACGTGCTGTCATTCGCGTGGCCAAATACCGTACCCTCATGACCATGCACATGTGGGAATATCAGATAGAGCTCAGTCCTTTGTACGTTTTGGAAGTGGTCTCCACAGTCTCAAACCACACAGGACCCTCGGCCCTGCATAATCCCCCGAGAGCATTTTGCCAGAATGCCTCGAGGCATCTTGCTGCAGAGGGCAGACCGACAGTGATGAGTGAACGTGCAATCTAGCAAGCTCAAGCTCTGCACCAGCAGCCTCTCTGCACTCTCCAGCAAACTCAAACTCCAAAGCAAGTTTGCTTTCCCACTTGTTTGTTAGCAGTTAAGACAGCAAGCTGCTCCCACATCCCTTCACCACTTTGTCGACACCTATTGCCTATCCGATGCGTTTGTTCTGATTGAACTGCCTGGAAGATGTACTCGTACGACCAGGTCTGGTCTCCCCCTCTAAAAAAGAAAACCAAGCTTGCAAGTTTTGCTGGTCAATGTGGGGTCTATGCTGACATGCCTCTCCCGCTGGTCGTCTCAGTCGCCAGCTCGAATGGCTCGGTCAAGATCAAGCTTGACTCCACTGTTCGAGATGTTTACTTGGCGAGTGGCCTGTCTTAGAACATGGCCACGACTCTGCTGGTCCTAACTCCCAGCTCCACTGCCTCAGCTCCTAGCTTCAGCATCCCATCAGTTGTATGACTCCGCATGTGCACAAGGAGTGCGCACACCTTGTCCTCGGAGGTCCCCTGGATGTCGCTTGCCTCAGAACAGAGATAGGACTTGATTTTCCAGGCTGCCAATTGTACTGGCTCGGGCCCCCAGGGCCGTGATTGACTCTGCTGTCTCAACTCAACTTTAAAGGACACATGCAAAGGAAAAAAACATGTTTTTAAAACAGCTTAGATGGAAAAACGATCTCATAAAACGATTTTACAAAGAAAAAAAAATTTTAGAGCTATATTTATGGCACTATACGAATTTGTAGTTGGCACCCGCGGGAGCCGCCGCTAGTCACGTGGCAGGCCCACATGCCGCCGCGCTGGGTCGTCGCCGTCGCCAAGTCACACTGCCGCCGCACGTCGAGCGTTGTGCAAAGGCCGCTTCAACGCATTTCTCCACGCCGCTGTTGCCGCCACCGCACAAGTTTGTCTGCTTCGGGGCGCCGCCGTCGTCTGATTGGCGCACTGGTTTATCACGTCTGCTTGGCTTTCTCAGGAGTTCCCTTTGAGCTCTAAAAGTTACCTATTAATCTTAGTTTTTTGTGATACCTCAAACAAAGATGAATAAGTTACTTTTAGACGCCATACGAAGTTTCCGAAAGAGTGCAAGCACCACGTGATAAATAAGGGCCAGTCAAGTGATAAGGGCCACTTTTCCGCAGCGCCGACGGGCACCAACTACAAATTCGTATAGCGTCGTACATATAGCTCTGAAAATTTTTTTTCTTCGTTGTAATCTTGTTTATGACATCGTTTTTCCATCTAAGCTATTTTAAAAAAAAATGTTTTTTTCCCTTTGCATGTGTCTTTTAAGCCTCCTCCTTGATCTTCATTCATCACCGAGGATGTCGCAAGACTGTACTGTCGACTGTGCAAGTGAAAGCTCCTCTGTTGTGAATAATGTTCTTGGGCCCGCAATATCGCATGGGCTGGTAGTTATTGAGGTTGCTAGGAGGCAATGGATGCTCGGCGAGTTAGAGTGCCAATGATTTATTTACTTTCGAATTATTAATATGCCTAGCAATCATCTGAATCAAGTCAAAATTGATCCGTCTCGCCCAATCTCGGCCTTTTGAAGCTGCTGTCTTCCTTGCCCTCTGAGAAAAATCAGCCAACTGTTTTCAAATGTGTGGGAGGTGCGTGATGTCTGCCATCCAATGCTCGGCCAGGGGTTGAGACAGACTTTAACTAAATTCGTAATGAACATGACACGGCAGCTCTGTAGCTCCAACAAGGGTTGCCAACAGTGCACCACCATACTGAAGTCCCTAGGTTTAGATCCAATGAACAAGGTGACAAAGGTCTGCGTAACATAATGAAGAATACACAGCCAATGGAGTGACACCAACAGGGAAAGGGTGCTTATACGCGAGATGTGCATTCGGCAGACGCGTCGACCTTCCCACAGAATAGACAAAACAACCTGGCTGGAAAGCTGGAGACATTTCGCAAGGCAAGACACCTGCCGCCTGACCATGCAGACAAACCAGCGGGGTGTCACCAGGTCCTTTACAGCTGCCTCACTGGCATCTTTTATAGATCATTAAAAACCTACCGTAAAATACTGTGGGAGCACCCACCCTACTTTCAGTGAAAACTAAGCTAACCTAGACCTGGGGAATTGTCCGGTCAAATCGGCACTTAACATATAATTCACAGAATTTCCAAGTTTGGGAAATGTTAATAGTGGGTGCTTGAATGAGGTGGACGCTTCCCAGTCTCTTACAGTAGGTGTGCAGAGGCCAAGGTGTAAAGATTATTGTGTTATAAATCAGCATGCTGCACAGCCAGCTTCAAGCTAAACGACCGAGGAGCACTGTGTAAAAGGTGCAGCAAATAAACACTGAAATGGCCTTAAAATGTGCATTGAAGTAAGGCTTACACTTGAGAATCTTGTTGAAGAGCAAGTACCCATCCATGGTCTCGGCCGCAATCTTGGCGACATCTTCGGACAGGAACTCCACAAAGGCGTAGCCACGGCTCCTACCTGTCTAAGACAGCGAACCAGACATTCAAAATCAAGTTTTACGTGACTTCCTGATGCTACTGCATTATGACTGTTCCTAGAAAACTACTAAACTATGGGTATTTATTACATATCGCAACACCAGATTCTTTTCAATAAGTATGGGCTTCCTAGTTTCAGACCAGATGAAACTAAAATTTCCTTCGGGAAGAAAAATGCAACATTGTCCAGAATGGTCAGGCTTTATTTACATTGTCAAACACTCGCGGAAAAAACTTTTTTGACAAAGGCAGCAAAGCAAATCTTGGCACATCCCAGTAAAGCACAAAGAATTAGTTTAAATCAGCTCGCAAGTTTTCGAAGTCTCGGTTAAGATTCAAACTTGTCAACAAAAACCATAGCTGGGGTTTGAGCCCCCAAACTGGGGGCTCGAACTGGTACTTTGGCTTGGAGGAGGAATAATCATTTGTTTCATGGTCAATGAAGGCGATGGGATATATGCTTTTTAAGCATGCCTGCACAATAATCATACATGAGATATAGGAATTGCAGCATTATGCCACAGGTTTCCCCCTTGACAAGTTCTCAGCTTTCAGACTGAAGTGTTTGGTCTCATCACATTATGAACCCGCACTTACTTTGGTGAATGAAAGGATTTTAAATATGTTCATTTGTAACGGTAATGTATCTGGGGCAGCCTCACTTTGCATGAGTTTTATCGATCGAGGCGAACTTCTACAGAACACCATTTGTCAGACCTAGTGAGGCTTCAACTTTTGCGGGCAGAAAATAAAATGCCGCTCCCAGTAAATTTGAGCATAAGGTATAAAGCAGGGATCTTCGAATCCCGGACCGCGGAAGTCTTCTAACCAGCCGCGGCTGGCCTCGGTATCTCCAGTGAAGCCCGGCCCACGGCCCATTTCCAGCAAACCCACTGCTTGAGGTGCAAAAAGTGTGCATAAAGAAACGGCGTGGTGACGCACTCCAAATATGCAAACTAAGAAACCAGAAAGAATGAAAGAAAGCGGAACACAACACAGGACCTCTCGCCTATTATTAATTGCACATTGTCATCACTAGCATTAAAATTCTTAGTCCCCTGCTTCGTGTCGGTGCAACTATGTTAAAATTTCAATTCATTCTCATGTGCATTGTGCTTTCACAATGCACAATGCGCATCTGTCCTTTTTCACAACTATTGCATGCTGTCAGTATTAATATTATCATTCTTATTAGTCTTTCACACTGCACAAATGTTCCAAAAGTCCTATGCACTTTGATTTGTGTCGGTAAATTTTCTTGGTCACAAGTGTTCTTTAAGGTCACAATTAGCTAAATATTAAACTTCAACTTGAAATATATGTATTCATCCTCCTTTAGTTTCTTTTTAATACTTACTCAAACATTCATTTCTATGTTTAAATGCCTATGTAGGTTTATTTACTTAGATTTTCTTCGTTTAAAATTACCCCCCCCCCTTTTTTTTTTTTAGGCCGCCGAGACTGCGAGAGGTCGCTGACTTGTAGCTTTATATCAGCGGTCTCCACACTTTTCGGCTAAGGACCCTTAGCCGAAAAGTGGAGACCACTGATATAAAGCTACTAGTGTAATAAATACACTCCCGAGTCATTTGAGTCATCCATATTCCGACCTGAGATTATAAAGACTTCTTCCTCGAAAGTACGAACTTTGATATTCATGTGTCAGGTCAAACTGGGCTGAAAATTAACCGGCTTTCTTCAAGAAGAAAAAGTACGAAAACAAGTGGACTGGGGTGTCTTACCTTTCCACTCCGTGACAGCCGGAGATTGGTGACTTTACCGAACTGCGAAAAATATTTCTTCATTTCTTCTTCGTAGAACCCATGAGGAATATGCTTGATGTATAGCACCCCTTTCTTTAGAATGGCATCGCCCTGCGAACACAAATGTTGATCAAATGACGCTCAAGATGTTGAACAGAGGTGGCAGTACTTCAAAAGTCGCCCGAGAAGACCGCCGACAAGACTGGACCAGGAATTTACACAAATATCACACAGTCTCACCTTATGTGGCTTTGCTTTTGCAGCAGATTTGGTGGTTTTCGTCATTCTTGATATACAAATTATGAAACGAAGCTATGTCTCAAGCGCGAATCCCTCGTGGCGCGACCAGCGGATGCTACATGCGCAAAGGGCCGAGTGGCTTGGAAGTTGGATTGGCTTGGATCTTTCACATTAAACCCAATGTGGCTTGACTCCAACCTTCTTGGTTGACTGAAACTAGGCTGTGTTCCAAAATTTACTTGATCTGACTCCGGACCGTACTCTGGACTAAAGGTTTCGTAACGTGGCGTTTCAAAAGTTACTCGCGCTTACTCGATGACGTCAGAACTCGCGTCCGGAGTAATTACTCACGCTATACACTCCGTGCGACGCGACTGGCGCGCCGCCGCGCGGTCGGTACCGAAGGTAGGCAGTGAGAACCCCAGAGAAAACGAAACCGAAACCACGCCGGGTACGTTGGTACGCATTGAAGTCGGAGCGGTGCGTTTGCGCTGGGTTCACAGCATGAAGTGCTGCCTGTGCTGCGTCATTAAGTGCTTCAATATTTATGCGTCGTATCTCGTGGAGACAAAGTTTCACAGTTTTTCACCTTGCCGATGTTTTGTGGGACAGCGACAACGATGGAGCCGTGCCGTACGACGCGAGAAATTCGGTCTCCCGATCATGTCTGCCACTGTGTCGGCACGGCTGACATATTCTACACTGCCGCTTTGCGCTCTGCGTTTGTTTTCGTACCAGTAACGCCTACATGTGTCAGCGCCGATGGGACAAACTGAAATGCCATCCCACACTCGCGGGTATGCGGTGCCAATTTTGTTGGAGGAATGCCCTCCAAAGAAGTTTCGTCCCCATCGTACGTGTCGATGATATTTCCGGACAAGTATGGCACGCAATCTGTACTTCATGAAGAAAGATTCAAACGGTAAAAAAAGTGACAAATATGAATCTAAAGAAAACAACAATGAAACTCGGAATCACTGGAGAATCGACGTTTGAGTATGGAAGTTTATGTGTTGTGCTTTCTTTCTTGTTCAGCCTCCTTTTGGATGTGGAAACGCTGACACCCCGAGTTCTGCAGACAACAATTTTTTTTTTCGGCTTTAGAGCCAACTATCGCAAAGTGGTTCGAACTGCAAGTATTGTCCACTGGTCCCTTCCTACCTGTAAAATGTGCACCATCCACGATGAGTGGTATTATCTGACAGCCTTTGACGGTCAAAGCCAGTTCCCATTTAGTTACGCCGCCCAAACTAAATTTCCACCTGGTTTCGCTATGCCAACTCTTTGTTATAATAAGTGTCGTGCCAAGTGACGGTCATGTCAAAGTACCTGTGCGCCGAAAATCAGCACCTCGCACAACAGGTTATTACACAACACCTTACCGCAAAAGCCCTTGGCGGCCAAACCGTGTTTTGGCCGACAACTTTGTTTCCTCGGCTTTGGAACCACCTTTTGTAAAGTTGTTTCACTTGGAAGTACAGTCCACTAGTCCCTTCCTACCTGTAAAGTCTCCACCTCCCCCGACCAGTGGTATTCTCTTGACAGCCTTTTCATGGTGAAAACCTGTTCCCATTGAGTTACGCCGCCCAAACCAAATTTTCACCTGGTTTCCCTATGCCACCTTTCGTTTAATAATAAGTGCTGTGTCATGTTACCGTCAAGTTCGAGCACCTGTGTGCCCAAATCTGCACTATGCACAGCCCGCTATAACAACATTGTGGGTCCAATATTGGATATCCCGTACAGCTTTATTTCTTTATTCGTCAGAAACATAACCTTCACACCTGCTGTCTTAAAGAAACTTGGCACTCTTCGTGCACCAACTTAGTGAACGTCTCACTCGCCCCCAAATATAATCGTTCCAGCAGTCCTGGGTTTACAGCGACGAGCTAAGTAAATTTCCCACTCAGAGCAATTAATTAAGGTGGCGGCCGTCTTGTTTTTCCAATAACCTCCTTGTGTTTTTCGGAAAATTGCTCCAACTCCTTTTTCGGCCGCAACTAGAGAAATTACCCCTAATAAAACAACTCCAACTCAATATATTAGAAGTGGAGAACAGCTAAATGCCCTTCTGCCCCAGCGCTCATGCAACGTCACCCTCAACTTATCGACTTAAAAAGCGAAAGTTTCGTCCGTGCGCGCTTCCGTCGCCACAGCTTGGCATGCGAAAAGGCGCCGCAGGCTGCTGAACGCGCCTCACAGTCGAACGCCAGCTCCTCCGCTAGGGGCGCTGCACGCGTTTTTCAAAGCGCCCCCTATAGTTCCCGCACGGAGTGTATACCCTACCTTCCTCGATCGGGGGGTAACGTCGGATTAAATCGAGTAAATATGTCATGTGATATGTTCTTCGCCTGCTTTCTGCGCCAACAGCCGTCAAAGCTAGGGATGTCGCGAACCGGTTGAGGTTCGAGTTCGACCAGGTTCGACTTTTCGACCTTCTTGTGAATAGACCTGTGCGCCGCCGCGCCGCGCCGCGCCGCCGCCGCCGCCGCCGCCGCCTGTTTTGCTCTCGCCTCTGGCTCTCGCCGCCCTGCGCCGCCGCCGGAATCCCCAGAGCCAGCACGCTGCCGCCGCCGCCGCCGCACAATAAATCCGGCGCACCGCCGGCGCCGCCAACTTTTTTTTTTTTTTTTTTGGAGGGGGGGGGGGGGGGGGGGGGGGGGAAGGGGGAGAGGGGGGTGATGTGTTTGTAGTATTTTTTTTTTCTGCTTCTGTATGAGTTTTACCAACTATATTATGCTTTAAAAAATTAACAGATACACTGGTGTCTGTATGCCTTTTCCCTTTAATTTTTACTCCTGTAAATATATCAATAAATGTAGAAGTTCCATAGAAAACGGAGACACGGAACGATAAAAAAAACTGACAAAATACCAAGTCTCAAACACAGTTTCTAGTATATTTGAACAACGAACGCTGTTACACATACCTCAAGACCCTCACCACCAAAAAAAAACAAAAAAAAAACAGAAAAACTACTCTTCACTAGGTCACCGAGAGCCGTACACTCAGACAGAACACATATGATTCATGATTCAGACAGATGCAAATGATTCACGCCAACCAGCCACCCTGATGACCTCGCTTGAGGGCTGATCAGCTACATGCGATAACAGGCAACTCCAGCGCCAGCACAGCCATTACAATTCTTGGAAAACCCACAAGACAAGCACAAAATACGCTTCATATCACTGTCCAATACCGAGCTCCCATCCGGTCGAGGCGGGGAGGCTCTCCTTACGGGTCTTTGCCCCCAGCGTATTCGCTTACACTCCCGAGCTCAAAATCTTTGCGTCCTCGCAAATTTTGTTAATGTTGTCGTGATCCTCTGTTAGGCGTCTACCCATCGTGGAGGGCGGCGTCGGTGTGATGCGCGTGTAATCGGAGGATCTGCCGCGGTGCAAGGCGAGTTGGTTGAAATCGACGTCAATCGCTGCAGGTTGTTCGTGAAAAAGAAAAAATAGCGGTCGTGGGGCAGCTTGGCGGCAATCCGGTGTGCCTTGCGGGGTAAACCCGGAAGTGGTGTAGGTTTGATTGTCACGTTGGTGAGTGACAACGTACGGTATGTGGAGAAGCAGGCCGTTTCGAGGTACGACGGGCGTTTATATACCATACCCTGTCTCTGACGCTGTACGGAGCTGATCGATGTTTTGCATCGTAGGATCGCTTCATACCGTGAAGGTAAGCGAGGTTCGCGTTTGCAGCGTCGCAATTCGCGTGGACGTCGCCGATCTCGTCGGGAAGCGGGGAAACTTCCATTGGTCGACGTGGGTCAAAGTTGAACAGGACTTCGAACGGTGATGTCTGGAGTCCGGCGTGCGGCTGGCTGCTGGTTCACTTGAAAGCTGGTTGCCTGGAGATAATCGCTCCAATGGTCGATGTCGCCTTTGACGTTCTTTCGCGAAGACACCGAAGGATTTTTCCGTTGGCGCGTTCGACAAAGCCGTTAGCTTCGGGAGCGTAAAGTACTGTTAGGGATGTTCTTAGTGTGCCTGTCGGCGAAGTACCGCGAAGCCGAACGAGAGGTTAGGACCCTGTCGTTGTCGGTGATGACGGCTTGCGGCGTACCGAATGAGAGTACGAGTTCTATAGACCTTTTCATTTTAGTAGTTGCCTCACCGGCGGATAGAGGGCGCTGACGCACCCGGCGCCATTAGGTTGCTTCAATTTGGTTGGTTCCGGTTTCAACGTGAACGCGGCTATGTTGCTGTTTTACGTTGTTTTTGCTTAATTTGGTGATATGAATACTTTTCTTGTAGCACACAACCAATGCGACAGTTGTATTGAGCCACTTTGAGGACTACGAAGTGTATTTTAGCCTAAATTACGGGCTTTATGGTCGGTTGCGAAACGTCTGACTGAGTACAGGAAAGGTTACCATCGTCACCAGCCGTACCGATAACACCAGTTTTCAGAAAAAAAAAAAAAAAACTAATGAAAAGATTAGCACGTGAATGTAAAGGAGCATATCGACAGCTTGATCAGCAATCTGCTGAATCGGCCAGAACAGATGAACTCGCGAGTTTACTACTCACTGTTTGGTTGTGGACACACAGCCTTTAATGAACTTCGCAGACTAACAACGTATCGTGTAATGACGCGTATAATTGATATAAATAAGTAGTAACGTCTCGGCCTCATTTTTTTTAATTGAGTACTCGAGCATGTTTTGACAGGCCGAGTAGGAAATTTCTTAGATTATCAACCCTGTTAAAGTACTCATAAGCAGCATTTCGCGATATTGGCTCTAGAAAATAAATGATTTTTATAATAATATTTGTTTACTCAAAATATAATTTAAGTGACAGGCCCGTCACATTAAATCTGGCATTTGTGTTCCGTAAAATTGGCTAAATAAAGTTAAAGGGCGCAGGAGGAGAAATACTTCCGAACGTTTGGCAAAATTATAGCGCTAGGCACCACCTCACGGACCTGTGTGAACAAATATTTATTTGCTTGAACAAATTCGCTTTGTAAATTTCGGCGTCGCCAGCCACCAAAAGTAAATCTCTATTCGCCATCGACAATCCTGGACTCAAGTGATTGTTATGCGGATGGCTGTTTTTTGTTGTTGTTTTTTGGCATCAGATATTGCGGACCTTAGATACTGGCCAAAAATAAGACAGCGTATTCGAAGAAAAAAAAAAGAAAAACGGAAAAAAAACATTGTTA